CACCAATTAGAGCAAAACAAAGCGACACATCACTCATCGAAAACATTTTCAAAAAGGAGCTGTTTTAACCGGGTACATTGTGGCCCGTCATTAAGAAGGCAGGCAAGATGGGCAATTGCAGGCTTTGCAAGGGCAGCTTAGAAACAATTGACCACATTGTCAGTGCCTGCCCAGTTCTTGCTCGGACCAGTTACATTGAACGACATAACCGGATAGTAAAGTATGTGCACTTCGAAATGTGTAGAGCACGAGATCTACCTACTGGTGCTTCACGATTCGACCACCAGCTCAAGGCATTGGTCAAGAGTGATCGGTATCGCCTCTATTGGGAGTATTCGGTCCCAACTGACCTGAAACTATCAGCAAACAGGCCCGATATGCTCCTTGTTGATGACAAATAAATGTTGCAAAGACCAACGCTATAGCCGATACGAATCTTGTTGATGACAAGGAGCGCATCGCCTACATTATAGACATCAGCGTTCCTGGTGAGAACAACATCAATAAGAAAATGGCTGAAAAGCGCTCGAAATATTATGATTTGAAGCGGGAGATTTCGAGGATTTGGTCCCTCACCCAGGTTGACGTGGTCCCTGTGGTTGTCGGTGCCCTGGGAGGCTTGGTGGGGGAGACTCCTCAATGCCTTCGGACTGTGCAGGGAGGAGACCTGGCTATTGTGCAACAGGAGGCTATACAAGGTTCGATTAAAATACTAAGAACTATCCTTAACATGTAGATGCACCTCTGCTGCGTTTGCATGTTCAATAGCTAAGAGACTTGAATAACGACTGATAAAGACTGATATTTCCTTTGGTACTACTCCCTTCATTGGTTGATGTATTTTGCCTGTCGCTGCAAATTCGTTATTATTGTTTTGATGTTGGAGTTCGGATTGAGTTTCTTTCCTTTCTTCCTCTTCCTTCAACTATTTCTTGTCCCTTTGGTTTTTAGGTTTTATTTATTTATTTATTTTTGTTTTTGTTTTTTTCACTTTCTTTTTGCTGTCCCACCCATGGAAATATTTCCCGGTGGGTCTGGCTTATCGCCTTCGAAAGAAGTGAATAAAGGAGATAATAATAATAATAAACTGTTGTCTACAGCCCCCACGCCGAAACATGAATTGACAGGGCCTGCTCGTTGTCCTGTCTTTTTGTGCTTACCATGGAAGGGCAAGAAGTCTGACAATGTGAGTCGTGAAGTTCGTGCGATCATCAAACAAACCTACTATGCGGTACACTTCATACCCGTCTACACAACGATGCGTTCGTTCACGGTGTTGAAGGAAGTCCTACCAACCCATCATTTAAGTCATGTAATCTACAACTTTGAATGCCGGAATTGTGCTAGCCGGTATGTTGGTAGGACTGTTCAGCACCTGAGCGAACGCATCAAGCAACACACTCCTTTACACATTATCCCACGTAGCGCACAACTGGAGCGTCCCACGCGGGGAAGACCCCGTAAACAACCACTACCTCCGCCAACACAGGACCTAGCGTCCCACTTGGCAAGTCCACCATTGGCTCCCGTGGCCATGACCAAGTCACTCCCTCCACCAGCGGAGGTGGATGTGGCTTTGGCGACGCCACGTGTGTTGCATGCAGACACGTTTGCGTCATCATCGCTTGCTGCATCACCGGCAGAGACGACAACAATACCTACCTCAATATCAACGAGACCCAGAAGAACAACTGCGAATTACACCATGACCTATTTCAGTACGGAAGTACAGAGCCAACGGAATGCACAACAGGAGCGTGAGACAAGGGATGGGAGGAGACGGGACCTGATTGCTCCAAGGCAGGACGTCGTTGAGGAGGATTCGGCCAGTGAGTCCAGTGAGTCCGGTGAGTGTGAGAGCGAGAATGATTGTGTGAGTAAGAGTGGGTGCGAGCGTGTGTTTTCTAGTAGGAAGTCATCAGTGTATAAGCATCTTGTATCTCGTCCTGATTGCTGCAAGGTGTATTCTGATTATTCTTTTTCTGTTTTGTGCCGTGCTCGTCATGGTTATAAGTTGCAGTTGAGTGTGTTAGAAGCTGTTTGTCAACGTATTCATAAGCCTAATCTGTGTGCCCAGAAGGTCAGCATTATTCGTTTGAAATTGTTCTAGTAGCAGCTTGTTCTGTCTGTTTGGCCCTGGTTGGCCATGGTGTCATATCTTGTGTCACAGTATACTAGTAGTCTTTACAAGTTCGTTAAGTGCTTTCGCAGTTTTTCCTGTTATTACCTTAGTGCTAGGATTATCATTTTAGATTTTCATTTGGTTTCTAGTACTGACTGTTGTCGTACTTATTCTGATTCCTGTTTTTCTGTTTTGTGCCGTGCTCGTCATGGTTATCTTTTGCAGTTACAAGTTTTGGAAGCTGTTTGTCAGTGCATTCATAAGCCGAATTTGTGTGTCCAGAAAGATGGTGTTATTGCCCTAAAATTGTTCAAATAATGTTCTTTTGTGTAGTGTGGCAACGTTGTTGCCACTTGTGCCTAAATGTGTTTTGTCACCTTCTTGTTTATTATTGTTATTATTATCATTCGTTCTCACTTTTTTGTTTTTGTTGCTGATACACACTTGTCACGCTTAGTTCTTACTTGTATACCCTTGTTTTCTGCACACTTTTGTGAGGAATCGCACCTCGATATTCCAGTGCTGTCATATATCGTGTCACCCTACCTTGATTGCTATATTATTTCCTTTGTTCTCATTTTGTTCTTTAGTACAACGGTGATTCCTGAAGAGTTTTGTACGAAAACTTGTTCGAATCATCTTTTTTTTCCATTGCCTTTTTCTTGATAAATATGGTGGTAAAGACACACCTGGCAATATGGCGGTAAACACACGCCTGCCCACACACGCTCTCTAGGCTGCAAAGTTCTGGCACATAGCTCTCCTTCTCACCACCACCACCATCAGTTCGCGCCTGGCGCCTGGTCGATGCATGGCTGGCAGTATCCGGCATAGCAGGCTGGTACATCAAGTAGCGCATGGCACATAGATGATGACACAGCAACGACATAGCTCGATTGCGACGTACGTTTCGTCCCCGCTGGACTCATCAGGCAATCTTCTTCTTGGATGTCTTCATACGGAGCTTGACTCGGGACAATGAAGTTGAAGACACCACTGCAGCTGTACTTATGGTTGATAAATATGGTGGTAAAGACACACCTGGCAATATGGCGGTAAACACACGCCTTCCCACACACGCTCTCTAGGCTGCGAAGTTCTGGCACAGAGCTCTCCTTCTCACCACCACCACTATCAGTTCGCGCCTGGCGCCTGGTCGATGCATGGCTGGCAGTATCCGGCATAGCAGTGTGTTTACCGCCATATTGCCAGGTGTGTCTTTACCACCATATTTATCAACCATAAGTACAGCTGCAGTGGTGTCTTCAACTTCATTCTGCCTTTTTCTTCTTACATGTATTTTTTCCTTACCCTTTAGGTTGTTTCTTGCATCGTCTCCATCGCTTACATTGTTAATAATATTATAGTAGTCCACATGTCGCTTCAGTTCGTCCTACCTGTTGCCATATTAAAATTATTGTCTCCTCGTCGAATTTTTAAATAATAATAATAGGGGTGAAACAATTATACCGAGTACTCGAGTACTCGCTCGTTTTTTTCAAAAACAATCGTACTCGGATTAAATCAGAGTACTCGTTCATACATGGCACATGCATCTACCATAGAAATCTGCAGTTTCAGAGCAGCAGTCGGCAGATATTGATGTGCAGACTGTGTGGTGAACATTTGTTCACGAGTAGAGAGAGAGAGAGCGCAAATGACCTACCAACCAATTTACCCGAAAACAATGACTGCTACTCGGTTCAATCAGGGTTGTATCATGTGATTTTAAGGCCCTTGGTGTGCAATTTTTAGAAGATGAAGAATACTCGAATGATCGATCGGAGAAAATCAGAGTACTCGTATTCGGGATCTCAGTGCCAACTTTCACCCCTAAATAATAATAATAATAATAATCGACGCGGAGACAACAATTTTATAATAGCTATAAAGAGAACAAATTCTGCTGTCATCGCCACACTACAACAAAGTCATGAAGGTTTACCAAAATCGATTTTCTTGTCACAATCATCAGTGGAAAGCCGTGACTGAAGAATAACCATGCCAAATCAATAATTTATATATGTGATAACTCGCTCGGACAGCGTTCCGGTTAGCCTCGTCTGGCTGGATCGCTAACCTCGGAACGTTTCGTGACCAGTGTAGCCACGGCTGGTACGGAACGCAACTTCACCCAATCCTAATCCCAACACACACACACCAACTGATCTCGTCAGAGCAGAGAATATGTTCAGTGTTTGGAAGAAGAGCACCGAAAGAACCCCTCGCAAAAAGCAGCAGCATGCTATAATATAACACATTGTAGAAAACAGCAAGCAGCGGCAGTAGCGATAGTACTTGCTAAACATGCAGCTGAACTGCAACTTTGTCCGCTGCGCGGAACGGCGATCGGACACGCACACGCACATACATACACGCACAGGTCTGCGTGATCTAGAAGCGGCTGTCATCATAAGATACGCAAAGTGTGAAAGGGTATTAGAACGGGGCAAGCCTAGACCCGGCGTCTGGACCGCAACATGTACATGTACTTGATTAATTAAAAGCATAGCCAGTCAATGGTCAAGCAGGTGCAATCACGCACATCCACACCTAGCGTACTACTACTATAAAGCGAATTCATAACTACAGGTATTGCACTTTCTACTGCAAATGCACAGTCGTGCGCTTCATCCATTGACAGCAGCAAAACCTATCATTTTACAGTCTCACTGGGTAGGTGACCTCGCCGGCACACACCGTATATTATATTGTACAATAACTGTTCCAACTACGGTCCGGAAGACACAGTGTGTCCACGTTCTACGCACAGTAGCTATCAGCAGTAGTTAAAAGTTACAAGCCCTCACTCTCGGGCTATGACATCTCCCCGCGCCTTCGAAAAGACTGCCACGTCCTCGTGGCGACAACATTCGGCTTACCGTCGTCTTCTCAACTGGGTTTGCATTCCAAAGTACTGCGGTGGCCGGACGGTCCTCCCAGCTCGAGTCTGAACCGCAATCTGGGCTGGTTGTGGCGGTGGTTGGTTGACTGGTAGCGGGATCTGCACAACTGGTTGGCCGCCAACACCGTCCACGCCGCCATACGTCTCATGCTGGGCATCCTCATCAGAATCCCAATACAACAAGTCTGTAGGGTGCGGCACATACACATCAGCCGGGGGCGTTTCGACAGACTCAGCATCTTCAGGTTCCTTCACCTCACTCACAACGAATCTGGTGATACGTTCTAGTCACGCCTAAGTGACCTAGATGATCATGGTACTCACTCAGCACCTGACCGCGCAACGCAACTGGCACCAAAATTTGAAACTTTGTGCCCTCTCCTGCGTTCTCACTGTGCAAAACGCGACATATCACGTCCTCTCGCACCCGTGACAAGACATTTTCGTCCTCGGAAATAATGCCTCAGAGCCGGACTCACACCAGTCAAGTCAGGCGAAGATGACCCGGAGCTGAGCCACTCACTCAGCCGTGTCAATTCATGATCACGTTGCTGAACATCAGCCCAATCAGCTGATGTCCAGTTTCGTCGCCGCACAAAGGGCGTAGGAAGGTCACTCTGGACCGACTCAGCATTCGCCACTGAGCTCCTTTCGTCTGATACCACAGCAATCACCTCATCAGGGACTGTGGTGCCACACCTCTGATCCTGCACTTGTCGAGACAAGCCATCAGCATTGGCATGGACTTTACCTTTCCGATAACGCACCTCGTAATCGAAATCACTCAGAAACTCAAGCCACCGCGCCACGATCGCACTTGGTTCTTTGAAACGGTTCAGGTATTTTAGTGCTTGATGGTCTGTGCGCACGACAAACCTTCGACCAAGCAAATAGCATCTGAAATGCCTAAATGCCCACACTAGTCCGAGGAGTTCACTCTTCGTCGAGCCATAATTCCTCTCGGCAGAGTTCAACCCTCTGCTTGCATACGCAATAGGTCGCTCCCGACCATCTGCGTCGGTCTGGGACAACACAGCTCCCAAACCATGGCCACTTGCGTCCACATCGACTACAAATGGGGGCGCATCGGTCTCAAACCTCGGATACGCCAACGTGGGTGCTGAAGACATCTTCTGTTTCAGCAATTGGAATGCGATCTCACACTCGCCATCCCATGAAAACCTCTGGTTTTGCCTCGTCAGCTTCACCAGCGGCCGAGAAATGGATGCAAAATCCTTCACAAACCGTCGATAGTAGCCACAGAAACCCATAAAAGAACGCACCTCTGCTACGTTCTTTGGGCACCGCCACTCTGACACGGTCTCAATCTTGTCCGGATCGGTGCGCACACCATCCTTCGTGACAACATGACCCAAGAAATTGACTTCTGTCCTCAACAGATGACATTTCGAGGGTTTCAACCGAAGACCAGCCTCCAGTAGTCTTTGGAACACTGCTTCCAGTCGTTCCAAGTGTTCGTCAAACGTCTTTGAGAACACGATAATATCATCGAGGTATACCAGGCACATCTGCCACTGCAAACCTCGCAAAACGGCACTCATCAGCCGTTGAAATGAGCTCGGGCCATTGCACACACCAAATGGCATCACATTGAACTCATAGTGCCCATCAGGCGTGGAAAATGCCGTCTTGGCCTTGTCTGCCTCGTCCATTGGCATCTGATGATACCCAGAGCACAGATCAAGCGTCGAGAAGTACATCGCACCGCCCAACGCGTCCAACGTATCATCAATACGCGGGAGTGGGTATGGATCTTTCACGGTTATTGCATTGACTCTCCGATAATCAACACAGAACCTCGTCGATCCGTCCTTCTTCCGCACCAACACAACTGGTGAAGACCATGGACTGACCGATTCTTCGATCACACCCTGTTCAAGCATGTCGTCAACCAACTTCCGACATGTTTCTCGCGAGCTCCAAGGCAATCTCCTTGCGGGCTCATAAACTGGACCATCACAGCTAGTCCTAATCTCGTGTTTCAACACGTCTGTCCGACCCAGCTCGGACATGTTCATAGCGAATACACATCTGTACTGCTCGACCAAGGTTCTGAGCCTAGCCAACTGCTCGGCCTCAACCACAGGCTGCTCGCTGTTGCCTGTATCAGGTGGGGAGCATGCCTCCCGGTTACCCTCCTGAGAGCAACAGCCATCAGGCATCGTACCACGACCACGCTGGTCAACGTCGGCCTCGTGTACTGCCTCATCATCCCTCATCGCACAATGGTGTGACCGACCATCGTCATCACCACCACCGGTTTCAAGCAGCCTCTTCCCGCCTGGAGAGCGCTTCCCTGCGCCGGGACCACCATCGGGGTTCCCCACTCGCAGTACAGACCACAAATCCTGGTTAGCCCCGTAGCTACACCAGTCATTCGCCTCGTCCAACTCTTCACTACCGTCCACCACAGTTGCAACTGCACACAGCTTGCCAATCTGGGCTCTCTTGGGCAGAGTGATTTGTTCCGCCGTGCAATTCATCAATCGCACGGGAACACGATTCTCTTGTGGCCGCACAACACACTTTGCCACCAAGAGACCAGGGTCGCTCGCAGTCCCACAATCTGGTTCCGTGAGCCCCAACTCTGGCATCCCATCGAATGCAAGAGTGTCCACCACAGCCGCCACGGTCATCTCGTGGTGTGGTGGGAGAACAATCTTCTCCTGCAAGCGGAGCGGAGCCTCATCTGCACCACCCCCTCGCCTTTCTTCGACCTTGAAACATAGCTTGCCATTCGCAGAGGTTATGTTACAGGGAATGCTGGACAGCACATCACGTCCCAGCACACATGGAAATCGTAGCCCATCGACTACCCGCATTTCCGGCGAACAAACACATCCTTGAACGCCAAGGTGAACAACCACTTTTCCATTCACCACCAGAGGCTTACCATCTGCCCCACAAAACTTCAACCCAGGCGCATCCGCCGTGAGTCGATCCGGATCGTAGCCCAGCTTCCTGGCTAGATCCGCAGATACTAAGCTTACAGCCGCTCCAGTATCTACCAGCATCTCCACTAACAACCCATCGATTGTCCCCGTGGTCAACATCCCCGTTCCAGAGTCGCATCCGACCATAGGAATGGATTGTTCGACAGCACGCTCGTCAGGTGCTGCCGGATTACACTCTCGACCCAAAGAAATGGTCTGACCAGGCACGTGGGCCATCGCCCCAGTCACTGGCCGTTTCCCAAAGGCCCTCTCCTCGAGCCATCGTATCCTCCGCGCCCCGTCTGCGCTTCACGAGGACATTGGGCTGCCCTGTGGCCCGGTTCACCACAGTTCCAACAAGTGAACATCTTCACTCGTCGAGCGGGCTCCTGATCCCGAGTTCTTCCTCGGCCTCGCCCTCCTTGACCACTTGGAGCATCACGCCTCTCCAGTAGTTGGTCGAGCGTCCTCACCAGGCTGCTCAAAGTACGCTCGAGGACGTCCGTCTGTCCTCTCGCTGGAGCCTCAGCAACATCCACAGCGGCCGTCACCAACTGTGTTTGCTGGCTCTCTCCGTAGGGGCCCACCAGCCTCTGCGGAGCTTCGCTTGGCAAGTCAACACTTCGCCAAACCTTTTCCAGGTGCAGCGCCATCTCTAATGCCGCCTGCACCGTCGCCGGAGGATTCTCCTGCAGCCTCACTCTCAAGGCCACAGGAGATACCGCCTCGATGAACTGGTCCCTCACCAGCTCATCCTGTAACCCACCCGGCATGTTGGGGTACGCCCGCACCACCAGCCGACGCAGATCATCCGCCAGATGCGCTAAATCCTCACCGGATTTACGCCTCCTCGTGCGGAATTGAGCCTTAAACTGCCGCTCATTAGCAGGTGGTGCGAACCTTCGCTCAAGGTCCGCACTCACATGCTGCCATACGGCCCGTCTTGCAGCCGGTATAGTAGCCAAAAAGCGTTGCGCCCCACCTCTGAGGCGTACCGCTAAGTACTGCGCTTTCTGCGGGTCATTCCCCCGTTCACCTGCGCGCACTGATCGAAGTACTGGATATACTCCACCCAGTCTCCGGAACCATCGTAGGCCTCGGGCATCACCGCAGGCCTCCCGAACGCTGGAGCAACTGGCGCTCCTCCAGCACCAGTTACCGCTCCCCCTGCTGCAGCCATCACTGCACCAGGGCCACCCACCGCAGCAGCACCACCAGCTACTAACGGTTGATGAACATTTGCAGCAGGCGCATTCACACCTCTGCCTTGTTGTTGCTGTTGCTGAGCCATCGTCAACACAGCAAAAGAATGAGCAAAGTAGACAAATAGTGCTAGCAGGACGACTGATCCGCGAAGAACTCAATCCTCTTCGCCTCAGCTCGCCTGATATACTCAGCCACGCCGCTGCCGTCCGATCACGGCCCGCGCGCGCCTACGAGTGCACACCCCAATTGCACGTGGGCACAGCGTACTCAACCACTGTAACCCTAACCGCCGTATGAACATGCCAAGCGACCACCGTCGCATCAGGTTTCCCGATCCCACGCCTGACTCGCGACATCTCGCGGAGCCTCGTGCGCCATCCGGATTCCCGTTCATCACACATTTAGACTAGCCGACCAGTGCAAGCCGCATCATGCATGCCTCTCAACATCATGCCATGATTCCTCGCGCACAAGGCCGCCAATAGTTCACCCTAATCACTCCGGCTGGCATCCCAGCTTGAGGACTAGACCAAACAGACTACAGAGATACGACACATCCATACCCATCGTTACGAACTGTATGCCCATCATGCAGCATGCAATTCTCATCACCAGAGGCAGCTCAGTCATCACTGCGCCATGCCAATCGAGCACAACAGAGAACAAACCTCTTTGTTCCCTGGTGGAGGCCCGTTCCCGCACACACAACGACACAACCAGTAGTGAGGCAGGATACATTGAACATCTTCAATATACTTAGACTGCGCTTGCACCGTCTACAAGCGCCTGGCCGAGATCTTCGCGCCTCTTCTAGGAATGGTGAACTTTGTTGCCTCGTTCTTGCCAGCCATCCTGGTCACAGCACCACTTGTGATAACTCGCTCGGACAGCGTTCCGGTTAGCCTCGTCTGGCTGGATCGCTAACCTCGGAACGTTTCGTGACCAGTGTAGCCACGGCTGGTACGGAACGCAACTTCACCCAATCCTAATCCCAACACACACACACCAACTGATCTCGTCAGAGCAGAGAATATGTTCAGTGTTTGGAAGAAGAGCACCGAAAGAACCCCTCGCAAAAAGCAGCAGCATGCTATAATATAACACATTGTAGAAAACAGCAAGCAGCGGCAGTAGCGATAGTACTTGCTAAACATGCAGCTGAACTGCAACTTTGTCCGCTGCGCGGAACGGCGATCGGACACGCACACGCACATACATACACGCACAGGTCTGCGTGATCTAGAAGCGGCTGTCATCATAAGATACGCAAAGTGTGAAAGGGTATTAGAACGGGGCAAGCCTAGACCCGGCGTCTGGACCGCAACATGTACATGTACTTGATTAATTAAAAGCATAGCCAGTCAATGGTCAAGCAGGTGCAATCACGCACATCCACACCTAGCGTACTACTACTATAAAGCGAATTCATAACTACAGGTATTGCACTTTCTACTGCAAATGCACAGTCGTGCGCTTCATCCATTGACAGCAGCAAAACCTATCATTTTACAGTCTCACTGGGTAGGTGACCTCGCCGGCACACACCGTATATTATATTGTACAATAACTGTTCCAACTACGGTCCGGAAGACACAGTGTGTCCACGTTCTACGCACAGTAGCTATCAGCAGTAGTTAAAAGTTACAAGCCCTCACTCTCGGGCTATGACATATACATTCAATAATGTGTTACGAGAACAAAACAAAGTGCTAAAAAAAGGAGGAGTCAACGAACAGAGGTTCAGCAACGTGAAGCGAGCCTGGGACCGATCGGTGGTGATGAGGAGAATGACACGGAGGACGACACTGAGGACGAGTTGGAAGATGAGACGGGGGACGAGGTTGCGGTTGGTGGAGACGAGGAATCGGATGGTGATTGTGATCGTAAGAAGTCTGCCGTTTTTGTTGTTGTTGTTGTTGTGTTTATTTTAATTCGCAAACCAAACGGGCAGATCTGCCCAATGAAAAGGTGGCGAATGCAGATAGAAAGCAGTAATAAATGAAATTGGGGACTGATGTAATTAGGATAGAGGTGGAGAAAAACTAAGCCAGCTGATCATCAAACAGGACGTCTGGTACTCTAGGTACTAAGGCCAGTAAGTGTGTGCGGGATCATGCTGGCGCGGAACTGGCGGAGCGTGGAGATGGCACGTATATCGCTGGGTAATGTGTTCCACAGCTGGGCGCCCCGGAACGCGAGGCAACCATTGCCGAACCTGGTGGAAACTGGCGGTTGGCGCAGACCCATGGTGGAGTGCAACCTAGTTGGGCCAGCTGCCGAAGGAACTAGGAGGGCTTGCAGTTCAGAACTTGCGTGTTGTTGTTGTGTTTATTTTAATTCGCAAACCAAACGGGCAGATCTGCCCAATGAAAAGGTGGCGAATGCAGATAGAAAGCAGTAATAAATGAAATTGGGGACTGATGTAATTAGGATAGAGGTGGAGAAAAACTAAGCCAGCTGATCATCAAACAGGACGTCTGGTACTCTAGGTACTAAGGCCAGTAAGTGTGTGCGGGATCATGCTGGCGCGGAACTGGCGGAGCGTGGAGATGGCACGTATATCGCTGGGTAATGTGTTCCACAGCTGGGCGCCCCGGAACGCGAGGCAACCCTTGCCGAACCTGGTGGAAACTGGCGGTTGGCGCAGACCCATGGTGGAGTGCAACCTAGTTGGGCCAGCTGCCGAAGGAACTAGGAGGGCTTGCAGTTCAGAACTTGCGTGCTCATTCCGAGACCTCCAGACCAGAACGATGAACTTCTGCCTGAATATCTCGGATACTCTGTAGGTGTCCAATTGCAGCAGGAGGGTACGCGCGGAGGTGTGATGCGAGAGTCCGAAAACCGCCCTTGCCGCCCGATTCTGCATGACTTGTAGCCGATCCAATTGGTTGGCAGTAAGAAGCGGGGAAAACGCATTGGATCCGTACATCAGGTCAGACATGATGATCGCTTTAAAGTAGAGAACTCGGCTCTGATGAGTCAAGCAGCGACGCAACCTCCATAGTGCTCCGATCCTCTGGGCCAGTCGAGCGGTGCAGCGATCAACATGGGGCGTCCATGACAGATCCGAGTCGAGGAGCACTCCAAGATACCTGGCCGCAGTAACGACAGGAATCGGCGTTTCATGACAGTTTACATTGATCGTATGCTGGGGCTGCTTTTTTCTTCATCTGTTGTCTCACCCTAAGTGTCTGCAGGTGTATGATGATTTTAGTTTTTCTGTTCTTTGTCGTGCATGGTACGCTAGTCAGTTGAAAGTACTTGAGGCTGTTTGTATTCGTTTGCATAAGCCTGATCTTTGTAAGCAGTAGGCCTTGACAGATTATGCTAATATTTTCGTGAAATTATGCTTTTCGCATTGCTGAAAAAATTGCAGAATTATGCTATTTTTTTGCTAAAAGTTATCATATTTTATCCCATGGTACGGTACTATAGGCCTGTTTCAGCCAATCAGGAGCCTTGCTGACCGGGAAACGAGAGAGCTTGGAAGCTCAGGGCCCTACGCTATGCTTTTTTGCCTTGATGACCTAGACAAAAAAAAGCATAGGGATGTTATAAATTCTTTAAAAAATTCCTTTTTTTTTAGACATGACCTGGGATTCGAACCCGCACTATCGCGCGCCCTGCATTCATCCCCCGATGCACTTCGCATACATACTAATTCTTCCAAGTTGTTTCACATTGTGATCTTGCATTTGAAAGCCCTATTTGAGTTATATGCATTGTGGCCAGCCGTCTTTGATGGCACGGTACGGTAGGGGATAGGGACGGGACAGGTACGATCGAGGGTAATACGACACCGTCTCCCGTACCGTACCGTACCATCAAACACAGCTGGCCACATACAGCTTCCCGCAATATTCAAATAGGGCTTTCAAACGCAAGATAATAACGTAACGCAACTTGGAAGAATGGGTATGAATACGAAGTGTATGGGGGAATGCATGTAGGGCGATAGTGCGGGTTCGAATCCCAGGATATGCCTGAAAAAAAGGAGAATTGAAAAATTTATAACATCCTATGCTTTTTTG